GGGGATTCGAACCCGCGACCCTCAGATTACGAGTCGAGTGCCCTAACCACCTGGCCATGCCGGGCCGGTTCGGAGTGTCACACCAGAAAGAAGTATTCAGAACGAAGTTCCAGAACAGAGCATGGAGGAAGGAAGAGATCTTAGCTGAACTTGCACAATATTTGAAATGGCTTGCCCAAATACCTTACCCAGATGCTCTTCATGAAATGATATATTCGTAGGCACGTGACCAATTTATAGACGCCATAATAGTTATAGTATAGTCAGATCAAGTAATATTGAAATATCAACATACGCTGACAACAATTTAGAAAAGTCAAAAAGATCAGTTGGAAAACTAGTTACCGAAAATGGTGGAAATATACAAGATAATAATTGTTTCCAGTGTAATTTGAAAGGATGTATTCCCAGGAACTGCAGACAAATCTTGTATGGAATAAGAACCCCTCTTAAAGGATACTAGAAAAAGGAAATTGTTATTGATATGGGAAAACTGGCCATTACAGCCACCACTGCGAAGAATCAACAGCTGTTAAAACACCAAATAAATAATACTCCGAGGATGAGTCATTGAGCGCAACTAGATTGAAGGAACAACAAAGGGCTAACCAAAGACTCGGAAACAAGAATTAGCTGGATTTATGAGGCAAAGTTCAGCTAATATTACCCCTCTCTGCCCCCAAATGAAATAAAAGTTCATTGTTTAAAGAAATCAATCCATAAGTCCACGGGTCTGTTAATTGGCAGCTTTGCTGTATGTTGATTGACACAGATTCTATAGCTACAATAGTTCGACCTGATTTGGTAACAAAAGGTGGGAAAATGCCTCCAAATATAAAGAAAGAAGAAGGAGTGATACAAAGAGCAAGTGAACATAAGGTTCCAGCAAAAAGACAGTTAGAAGTTACCCTAATTATAGGAGATTTCTCTACACCTCATGATCTGTGGGTAATTGACATTGAGAAAGAGTGCATATTGGAAACGGACTTCATGCAGAAACATGAATACGAGGTTAGGAATAGCTTCAAAGAGCTACACAGTCCATGATCAGGAAATCCCTGTGCACTGTATGACCATTATTAGACAAGAGGTTGAACTTCCTGTGACAACAAGGAGAGCAGTAATTGTATTACAAAGAAATGACATACTCATGCCAGGACTTGTTAAAAACAAACTTACATCTAATAACTGGGCCATAATATAACCAAATGCTCTAGGAACTAAACTCTCTCGTTATTTTTTACGTGGAATGGACTTTGAATTATTTTCACTGGATAATTTAAAAGATTTGTTTGTTTGTAGTTAAGCACAAAGCTATACGATGGGATATCTGTGCTATACCCACAATTAGTATTGAAACCTGGTTTTTAGCGTTGTCAGCTTTCAGAATTACCGCTGTGAAACTGGGAAGGGGTAATTTAAAAGAACCAAATAATGAAAGAATAATGCTACAACAGTACAAACAGAGAAAGAAAATCGGGAATTTTTTCATTGCCTT